AGTTATTGTTTTCTTCTTTATATATATATATATATATATATATACATTAAAAGAAAAAGTAATATATATATATATATACTTTAATTACAGCAAAAACAATTAAACATAATTAACAAGAGTTTTTTAGCTAAAAGGTCTTAGTTAAGTTGAGATCAATCTGTGCTTATTTATTTCGTTAAAGCCTGAAAAAAAATAACTGAAGTTTGATGGCTTGCAGACCAGAAGCACCAAAACTCAAAGCTACTAATCATAGCTTTGTAAATTACCCAAGATGAATTGATCAGAATATGAATTGATCAGAAAGTCAGTGTCTGTCTAAAAGCTACTAGCATATGAGGTGATGTGTAATGGAGATAAATGCATATGTGAATATAAATATCAAAATAAATAGATGCATACAATAGAAATATTATACTAAGTTTTTCATGACTGTAAAATAACATGAATGAATCAATTACATGAAAAACACAATTGTTAAGGTACTGAGAATGGAAGTAAAGAATTTGGCCCCCCTCATGTTTAGACATTGCAATATGAAATTAACTTGAAAGTGCACATTATTTTCACTAAAACTCAAAAGAAAGTGTTTCAATCTTGACTTTGAAATATTTGACAGGAAGTAAATGTTCATGGAAAGATAAAGTAATGGTGAAATTCACACTACTTCTGAGAGAAAATGTAGTTTCAGTGGTTCCTTTACAAGTAGTGTCAGAGTCCAAGTTGGACTGGCCTCATCAACTCACACACATATCTTGAGCACAAATACTTTTGCAACACATCTGATTCTTTTGTGTACAACATACTGTACATTTTCAAAGCTTGCCACATTTCATATAAGTACAAGAAGTAAGTTCAGAATTATAGTCAACATTCCTTCTCCAATAGGGGGGGGTCAGTTCAACACTATGCATATCTGGCTAAAGGCAAATTTCTGTTGCTTAAAAAGGTTTATTTCAAGTATGTACTCACTATTTATGAGTAGTTATGCATTTCATTGTTTAATGGTTGTGATGTCTGTAAGGTAAGATTCTGAAAGCCAGAAAGGGTTAATTTAATTCTAAGTCAGTGCAAGTTTAAAGTTTATTGGTTTTAAAATTAAAGTTAATTATTGGTTTGTATAGTACTAACGTTTATTCCAAATTTATTTTTAACTATTAATATGAGTAGTTTTTCACAAAACATGTGGTCAAGAAAATTGTTAAGTTGATCTTGTTTCAAGTTACCTTTGTTCCTTTATCATTTTCAAAGTGTAATACCTGTTATTACCCATGGAGAATATTATTTACAATGACTGTGTTTCATAACATTAAGAGCAATATCCTTCAATGGTTGTATAGGTAAATTTCTAGAGATTTCTTAGCCTCGCCTATGTGAAATGAGAATAACCAGTCACACAGTAGTGCAGTCTTGCTAGTTAAATGTGAGATTTTATTTCAAGTAAAAATCTTTTGTTTAATTTATTATATGCAAGTCTTCAAGTCTGATTCTTTGTCTCATCCAAGCTTGTCCTTATCTTAACTCTGAGAAGCAACAGTCCATTGTGAGCAAGTATATGCATTATGTTTTTAAGTTCCAATAAAGATTGTATTCACTGTGTATTACACTTTGTGTTTAATCCATTTATCCTTCAGCTCAAACTCAGACAGTAGATATTCAGCACTCTTCTCAAATATTATATCTTGTTTGAATCTTCCATTTAGCAGACTTATCAACTAAATCTCAAATCTAGATTCAGTTCACCCAAATATAACACATCTGTACATAACTTTAGTCCAGATCAAAGTACTTCAAATACTTGATAAAACACAAACTTTGCACCTTTAAATTTCATACTTAATTACTGATCACTAAAAACATTACTTTTTGTGAATTCACTTTTTCAAATACTGTGAAATACTTTCTTATGCCAACTCTTGACTAAAAATGAAACTAATGATAAAGATGTTCTTAGTAATATAACTTGTTAATGTGTCAACTAGCTATTTTTCTTCTTAAGCCAAAGCTTAAATACAACTCTAATAAACTCTGTACAGATGTTATCACTAATGTAACACACAGTACACTATTATCATATGAACACTCAGTTTCATAATCTCAAACACTTATGTGAAACACCAACAGTTTTTCTAATCCCTGTTGGAAATACAGTTAAAAGCTTTAAAATTATTATTGACACAAAAATGAAAAGTCCAGTGCTAGAACTTACCTAAAATACCAACTAACGTGCCATATACAATGTTGGTGACGTAACTTATAAAACTCTTCATCACCATGTCAGCCATGCACACCCCATCTTGTACCAAGAGCTCTAGTCTATAGTCGTCCAAAATAGACGCATTACGATTTATTGCTTCCACTGCCATCTGGGCAGCTAGAAACCATTGAGGAATATTGAACTGATTAAGTTACAACTTTATTTCCTGAACAGCTTTACAACATTTCTGTTCCAATCATTTTAAGATTATCAGGCAGACTATATTTTATTTTTGTAAAATAAAATATTGAAAGAGTGAAAGAAAATTTAATTATTAACATTTTAACATTTTGTTTTCATAATAAATTTGTAGATTAACTTCTTTTCATGTATTTCAATAACAAAGTCACTTGATAGATAGTCTTCTGAATAAGAAAATGTCACTTGGAATTATATTCAACATATTTCAGGTGAGTTGCACAAAATAAACATCTATATACCTCAATACTGCATATATCAAAAGTACATAATTTGTAATTATTAATAGGAGAAAAAACTATTTATCCTCAAATACACTGTGCTACTCAATTAAGCAAAACCTTAAGTGAGTACTTATTAGGACAGAAATCCATCTTCTAGTGGATACTTTTTTTTTTTATAATTATTATGATTGTCTTTGTTTAGAAGTTATCTATTTGAATTGATAACGAAATACAACTTTTATGTGCTATGCACTGAAGCACTATGCTAAGCAATCACTTCAAATTAAGTCATTTCCAAGAAGAAAAAAAAAAGTTCAGTGTTGAAGAAAACTTTCCTCATTCTGAACAAGAACCTGCACTCTACAACTTTCTACCTCTGAAAGTCCATCCACCATCAAAAGTTTAAGCTTCAATATCAAAATAACTCTCCTCATTTGAAACCTTCAGATTACGTTCCAAGTCTAACAAAGAAGTCTTATTCTCACTAATTTCATCATATTAATCTTTTAAAATATCAATAATTGTACTTTAATCCACACCCTGCAGTGCCTGTGTTTCATGGAAGTGAGTATCCTTGTTGACACTTGTCAAAGAAATCATAAGTTCAAGATGTCTTTTTAGTACAAAAGTCGAGTTGTGTGTCATTTCCAATTGAGCAAAGGAACCGAGACCAAAGAAACACCTTGATAAAGATAAATAGCATAGCCAAAGATATGGAACCAAACAATTAGTGTGACACACACATCACATATATATGTAGAAAATGCACATACACACTCACTCACACTACATAGATCACATCTTACACAACCCCTGGGAGCATTTCCTTTCCTTATGCATATAAACAAGTTCTGCCCATTTAAGGGGTTAAACAATTGCAAGGTCTGATGTCATTTGTTCTTTCTATTAATTAACTTAGGATGTATAGTAGAACTTAAATCTTACCTGGGACCACAGCACTCTGTCTCCAATATATCCCTGATAGAGGAAAAATGCCACCTATGTACAATGGTATTCTATGAGACAAGTCATCTGGTATCCACTTATTCCAGATGTGTTCATTCTGTAGCAACCAACTACATGCTATTTTCTGCATGCTCCAACCATCCTGTAGTGCCTGTTCATACTTCTCCAACATACCTGTCAACTGTGTCTGGCTGAAGAACATGGACTGAACTACATGGTAAGCATCATGAGCATTTTTCTTGAACACTGACCAAGTCACCTGTACAAAACTTACTTCATTAAAACCATCTACAGTTTAATTCATTAAACTTTTCAAATAATTAAGTACATAAACTTATGAGATAACCTATTGGTTAAACCAATAAATATTAACCAAGTCATCTAATGAGTATATTGTTCAGACCAACAAAAAAAATCCACTATTTCAATGAGACATAGTATTACTTAAATTATTTAATATATATCAAAATACCCCAAAATACAATAATTTTATATCAATAAATATCAGTCAAGTCACCTATATAAATTAAAATAATTCAGTACAAGTAGAATTACTGAAAGACTAAATTTTTTGACACATATAAATTAATCAAGTAACTTAAACAAGATACTGTTGAAATCACTACAAACATGTGATTTGTTTTTGTTTAAATCATGTAACCAAGTTACCTAGATAAATATGGTTTCTACAATCACTCAGGTAAAATGGTTTATAAGCCATTAAATATAGAACAAAATACATAGACAAGTTCTTATACATTGTTAAACACAAAATTGGTAATCTAAACAATACAACAACGAAAATGTTAACTGTAAACTACATAGCACAGGAACAGTGTTGTTTAAACCATTAAATATAACTCAGCTAACATAACATACCAAGATTTAAATAATTCAATTTATTCATCTTTCACCTAAGTAACATCTCAAACCAGTATTATTGTTCTTCAATATATTATCTATGAAATTCAATCTATAAATTTAAACAACTTCAGTAATGCTTATGACACACTTTTAATTATTAAATGTCATTTAAGCTACATAGACTTATTGCTTAATTTGTTAGCTTACAATCTAGACAACATACAATTTAATCAAAAAAACAACCTGTTGGCATAGACAATGTACTCATGAAATTGTTAATTATCAAGCAAAACACCTGGAAAATGATAATGCATATCAAACAGTGACACTTTAGTAATTTTCATTTCTACAATAATATTTTTCACCTTCTATAATTAAGCAATCAAGAACTGGTGAATGTATAGTGCATTATGACATGGCAGAGAGAACACCATTAGTTTAAAACTAATAAAGAATGAGTATAGCAACATTAGCATCTTATATGCCATAAAAAAGATAACTATGAGACTATCTACTTGTGTGTGTGGATATTAACATTACAAACTTGCTCTTACATACTAATAATAAGGCATAATGAACTGTTCAAAATATGTTTTTTTCTAGTCATCCAAATTGTTAAAAAGAAAATATGTGGGCAAGTATATCAACATTTAGTCTTAATACAGATTAACTGTGATGTGTAAAGAACATTACACATATAATACATATAAACTGCAATTTGCCACTATGAAACGCATATGCTTGTTCTTTAGTTTGCTCTTGTCTAAGGTTATTAACCAAACTTGCACAAGGTCAATCCATTGGATGGACCCCACTTTTAAGAAGGGAGTTGACTATAATTCCAAATTTACAAACTTTATCTACAGATGTCAGACTTTCAGTAGAATGTACAATACTTTTGTACAAAAAAATTCAGATGTGCTTGAAAAGTATTTGTACTCAAAATATGCCTGTGAATTGATGTCCAACTCAGACTTTGACAAGTCAGAGTGCAAGGTGATGTTTATAAGAAGAACAGAAAAACTTTTGTCCTTCCTAACGTTTGCATATTGTATTTGCAGAGCCTCTGTAATCTCCAAAATGCATATCCACAGCTTTTTCAGTACCTTTGTATATTGTATTTACTACTTACTCTCCTATACCATAAATTGTTCTACATCAGCAATGTTGGGTAACATGAAAAGTTGATAACTCTGACATAAAACACACATTAACATGTTGAATAGTACTCTGTAAAAGGTTATGGCATGTGCACTTTGACCCACAATCATGTGCTCAAGGTCAAGAAGGGTTAGAATTCCCCCATAAACAGTAATGACACAGCAAATCCAAAAACAAACTGCACCTCACATTTCTTTTTCAACAAAATACAAAATTTGACTGAACAATAAAATAAATCCTTATATATGTATGTAATAGATGCACAAAGTGAGAACAAAATAATAGGTAGCATCTGGAAAAAACAAAATTAGAAATATTACATAAAAATAAATAAATCTTTACAGCATAAAATAGTGCCTTATTGTTTGTACAATTACTAAGTTAAAACAATACAGCACATACCATACATTTACTTCATAAGCTTACAAATCAAAGACACGAGATTGTAGTGAGAAATATAATATTTAATTATGACCCAAACTTGCAAAAGTTATGCTTAACTGAAAAGGAGATATTAACAAGGTTTGTTTGTAATTAAGCACAAAGCTACACAATGGGCTATCTGTGCTCTGCCTACCACGGGTATCGAACCCCAGATTCTAGCATTGTAAATCTGCAGACATATTGCTGTTCCACTGGGGGGCAGATATTAATAAAGCTATTAATTTATCATTACACCTCGAATTACCACTGAATAGATAAAAATGAACTACACTGCATTTGAAACTAAAATTAACACAAGATAAATTAACCTTTTCTAGTTGGTTAATTTCAAACTCGCATGGCAAAGAAGGATGAGATACAAAAGGCTTGTCCTCACAATGAGGAAAGGCTACATCTGTGTAGTTGTCCACCGATGTCAAGGTGTTGGGCTTCCAGTTAAAAAATAATGTTGGTTTATGGTTTTCAGTTCTTGTTGTAACTAGCTGATCAAGGTGTGGTCCAACCCAAGCAACTCTTACTAATAAATGTAATCGTTCAATTTGTTCTTTCAAAAGCATAAAGGTTGTAGCTGGATATAGAACAAAAAATAAAACCATCAGTCATCCAAACAACTGGCATTCATAATAACAGATGAAGCTCCATAAAATATAACAGAATAAATTTGATTTCCATAAAAACAATCTTGAAAGATCATTGTGCATATATAAAAACATTCATCTAAACAACTGATATCTCCTATACAGCTGGTAATTATCATTCTCCATAATCTGGACTTGTAAATACATTTTTGTCAGATGAAACTTTGTCTACTGATGTATGGATTTTGAAGAAACTAACACCTGCATAGGTTTAATAGTAACAAAATTATTATTTTTATGTGGATTAAAAGACCATGTCAAAATAAGTTATCAGAGAATAATTTACTATACAGCCAAGTTAACACCAACATGGGAAACTGAAAATATTTGAAAATTACTTATTATTACTGGTAATTTCTCATTTAGAACATTTTCTTTCTTTCTGCACTTGAAAACTTACAAAGCACTGAATTTGTCATAATCAACTCCAAAATCTTTGACTTGAAAATTTAATATACAGAATTGTAACTTACTTGAAATTTATTTCCAATGTAAAATAAAGATGATGTACACCGGCTTCTATCTTATGCTCAATGCAAAAAATTGTGTGATACTGTGTGATTAATGTGTATTTCCTGGTTAATCATTAGATACATTTAATAATCACAACTAGAAATAATGAGCAGTTTAAGCAATAACTTGAGTCTTGTTTTTACCTGGGTAGTCAGCCAAGAGAGTAGCACATCGTGTGTCTCGGTCATTACATGAATTTGGAAAATATATACCATCAACACAAAGATCATCATCACAGAAATTCTTTCCTGTATGTGTATCAAATGTCCACGAAGGAAGATCAGTATTTTTGGATAAATCAAAGAGTACAGCAATATCTGGGTCTTGAAATGATCTCCAATGATCCACTACAATACCTTCTTGCTTCCATTTATGATGAACATATTCTTCAGGAATGTACCACCCAGATCTGAACATACAAACACAAGATAACAACAATATATGAAAATATACAGTCATCATTAACTCTAGAAAATTATTAAACCAACCCATATTTTGTTTTAACATATTACTAGTGATCAGAACAGATTTTCACTTTGAGCACACCTAAAACCCATTGTAATCTTTGAAATAATTACAAAACCTACACTTATATTTTTAGAAGGATTTCAATTGGTATTGAATTAAAATTCAACTTTTGTTTCAATTTCTTTAAGTACATTCATTAGAAATTAACATCAACATTACTACACACCAAAAGTCATCACAAAAGCTCCAGTTTCCTACATATACTAGAAATGAATATACACACACAACACATTTTTTTGAAAACACTATAAATTATTACAGAAACCACAATTTCTGGCGCACACTATAGGTCAATATAAAACCCACTTTTCTACACACCTCACTCGCAACCCTTTTTTTTCACACACACAACAGAACATTATATAACACTTGCTACACTTGGTTGGTTGTTTAGTGCTTTATGGCGCAAAGCAGTGAGGCTTTCTGTGCCAAACAACCGGTAAAAACAGTTAAAGTAAATTAAAGTAAAATGTAAAAATACAGCGAGTTAAAACCAATATATATCTATAAAAGATTTATATATATAATTAAAAAGACCTATAACATGTAAAAAATTGAAAATACAATCTAATTGGACAGTGTCACCATTACCAATGACACTGTCCAATGTCAGGGGTAAACTCTTAAAAAATATGTATCTAAAATGGTGCCACCACTCACGGTTGTAACGACGACACGACAGTAAAATGTGGGCTATTGTGACTTGAGTGTCACTATGGCTACACATCGGTGGGTCAATACCTGACAAAAGAAAACGATGGGTTAAAAAACTATGACCAACGTGTAGCCTTGTCAGGACTACTTCTGATCCTTACGAAAGGATTGATCAGGAAAAGCTTTTTATGGCATTGCTCATCCCAAGTTGATTGCCAACTGGTACGAAGCCGTACCTTGAAGACAGGACCGTAGTCCATGTATGGGACAGGCAAGGCCGTGATGGCACCAGAGCAGATGGACTTAGTTGCGGTATCAGCGAGCTCATTCCCGTGAATATCGACGTGGCCAGGGATCCAGAAAAACTGGATGGAAACAGAAGATA